TAGGTGGAAAGGGGGGGGGTTTTGGGGGTTTATTTGTTTAATTGTTTGTTTTGTTTTTATTATTTATTTTTTTAGGGGTTATGTGTGCGTGTTGAAGAGGATTGTTTGTATGGTTTTTGTTTTTTTTTTTGTGTTTTATTTGTGTTTTATTGTTGCTATATATGCGTTTTGAGCATGTTTTTGTTTTTCTTTCAGGATTATTTTATGTATCTGCGTTTTTTAAATCATAATGTGGGTTTATATGTGTATCTGTTTTTTTTTATGATTATGTATGGTTTTGTACATAAAAAAAATTACGTTTGTGAGTTCCTCTTTGTGGTTATGTGTATATCTACATTTTCTAAAAAAAATATGTATGTGTGTGTGCGTTTTTTCTTTTATTTCACATGTGTGTATGCGTGGGTGTTGCTGCGCAGAGTAAGGACACTGGGTACGTGGTACTTTGCATGGGTATGGCCCTTAGGAAGTTAGTGGGGAAGGCTAAGGTGGGTTTGTGGGTATGGGGAAGAGGGGGGGGAGGCTCATGGGAGGGGGTGGTGCCAGCTAAGGAAATCTTGAGTACTGGCAATATCCGTGGAAGTATATAAACGTCCTTATGGATTTGGTTATATCCGACGCGAGTAAAAAAAAAAAAAAAAAAAAAAAAAAAAAAAAAAATCAACCTACAGACTCAACTAAACAAATAAAACAAAAGAGAGAAAAAATAACAAATGAACATCAACAAGAACAGTTAGAAACAGACGAGACTCGCAGACGATCACAAACCAAGACGTCACCCACTGACATCCTTTGGCACTGACACACACACACACACACACCACACACACACACACACACACACACACACACACACACACACACACACACACACACACACACACACACACACACACACCACACACACACACACACACACACACACACACACACACACACACACACACACACACACACACACCACACACACATACACGCTGTAGCTTGTCTATGATTTTTTCATGTGAATTAAATGTATTTCTATCATATATTTTCACTCTAACTTCAATTTACATGAAATAATCCGATTAAAAGACTAAATAAAATTAATCTTATGTGACATCTTGACTCCTTCATTGTGACGTCACAGATCCTGCCGATTGGGACACGATCTCATCTTGGGATAAGCGAAGGACCTGACCTTGTCTGCCCTGGGAACGTAAGGGGTGGAGGGTGGGGGTGGGGGGGGGGGAAAGGAAAGGAGAGGGGAAAGGGGGAGGATTTCTCCTCTTCCTTCTTCTTTCACTCATTCTATTTCATTTTTTTTCGTCTTTTTCCCTTTCCTTTCGTTTGTAATCTCATTTCATCTATTTTTTTTGTTTTCTCTTTTCATCTTCTACTACTTTCTTTCCTTCTACAGCCTTCTTTCCCCTTCTGTCCTATCCTCTTTTCTCTCTTCCTTTCTTTCTCCTTTCTCTCCCTCTTTTCCCAATTTTCATCACCCTCCCTCCTCCATCTTTCTTCTCCTCTTCCTCTCTCTTTTTACCTTCCATATTTCCTCTACACCCGTACCCCCCTCTTCTTTCACCTCCTCTTCTTCTCCTTATCTCCCCTACTTTCTTCTTTCTTCGCCTCCTCCTCCTCCTCCTCTCCTCTTTTCCCTTCTCCTCTTCCTCCTTTACCTCAGACTTTCACCAGAAGAAAACGTAAAATAGAGAGAGAGAGAGAGAGAGAGAGAGAGAGAGAGAGAGAGAGAGAGAGAGAGAGAGAGAGAGAGAGAGAGAGAGAGAGAGAGAGAGAGAGAGAGAGAGAGAGAGAGAGAGAGAGAGAGAGAGAGAGAGAGAGAGAGAGAGAGAGAGAGAGAGAGAGAGAGAGAGAGAGAGAGAGAGAGAGAGAGGTGACAGACGGACAGACGGACAGGACAGACACAACAGGCAGAGAGAGAGGTGCAGAATAAGAGGCATGGATAATGGAGACTTTTATGACAGCTGCTTCTTCGGAATTATGATAAATGCATTGAAGATCTTCTGCGTCTAAGCCAATGGAAATCTGATAAAGAAACAGTCAGAGAGAAAATGATAGTGATAGGCAACGGGAAGAAAGAAAGAGAGGGAGAGGGAGGGAAAGAGGAGAGAGGGAGGGAGGGAGGAGAGGGAGGGAAAGAGAGAGGCGAGGGATGGAAAGAGGAGAGGGAGGGAGGGATGGAAGAGGAGAGGGAGGGAGGGAAGAGGAGAGGGATGGAGGGAGGAAGGGGTAAATAGGAAAAGGAGAGAGGGAGGGAGGGAAAAGAGGGGAAGGAGGAGAAGAGGACGGTGAAAAGATAGGAGAAAGAAGAACAAAAAGAGGGAAAAATACAAATAAAAAAGGGAGAGAGGAAACGTGAAAGAGAAGAAAAGAGTGGGAGAGCGAGAAAAGAGAAGTGAGAGGTTGAAGAAAAAAATAAAATAAAAGAAAAGGTTATAACAACAGATAAATCAGAAAAAGTGAAAAGCCAAAAAGCAAACAACCAAACAACAAGCAAACAAATCAACATAAAATCAAAACACAATCACCCTCCCCTCCCTCCCCCTCCCCCGCAAAAAAAAATCATAAAAAGAAAATTAAAGAATACACACACTGACAATAAAAAAAGAAATAGACAGACAAATCGATAGTACCCAAGACGAAGGCGCATAGAGAAAGAAGACAGAATGAATATAAATGAGCCGGGGTATAATAATAACCTTGGATTAACTGCAGCAAGCCACAAAATGAAGGAGTGGTTTGGAAGGAGACATGTGTTGCATATATTAAAAAAAGGGAATTGTGAACAGGTCTCGGGGAGAGTGTTATGGTGCTGTGTCGAAGTGTGGCATCCGTTATGGTGACTGTGGTGAGTCTGACTAAAATATGGTGAGGAATTCATTTATGCATAATGTTTTTTTTTTTTTTTTTTTTTTTTGGGGGGGGGGTACTGTTGTATGTGTAGTGTGTTGGTATGTGAGTGTGTGGGGATATATATATATTTTTTTTAAGTATTTAAGAGATGTTTGACCCCAGTCTGCACCACTCTGACCGCCCCAGACACGCCCCTAGCCCAGAGACAGGCTTAGGCCTAAGGGCCTCTCTCTCTCTCTCTCTCTCTCTCTCTCTCTCTCTCTCTCTCTCTCTCTCTCTCTCTCTCTCTCTCTCTCTCTCTCTCTCTCTCTCTCTATCTATCTATCTATCTATCTATCTATTTATCTGTCTCTATCTATCTCTATATGTCTATACAACTCTCATCTCTCTCTCTCCTCTCTCTCTCTCTCTCTCTCTCTCTCTTCTATCTCTCTCTCTCTCTCTTTACTCTCTCTCTCTCTCTCTCTCTCTCTCCATTCATTTATCTCTATCTATCTCTATCTGTCTATACAACTCTCTCTCTCTCTCTCTCTCTCTCTCTCTCTCCTCTCTCCTCTCTCTCTCTCTCTTCGTCTCTCTCTCTCTCTCTCTTCTCTTCTCTCTCTCTCTCTCTCTACATTCTCTCTCTGTTTATCTGTATCTCTCTTCCTCTATGTTCCGATTCCAATATTCCAAACACTTAACCTTTTAAACACTCGAGCTTCCCCCCCCCCCACACACACCTCCTCTTCACCCCCACCAGCCCTTGGCGCCTTCGCCCTTCTTCTCCGGGCAAGAGGAATCCCCTCGAATTCCTTCTCCCAGACGTTCTTTGAAGAAGTTAATATACCTACCCTTCTACCCCTTCCTGCCCTCCCCCCCTTTAAACCCCTCTCCTCCCGTCCATACGAGTCCCACGCTTCCCTGTCCCTCCCCTTCCCCACCTTCCTACCCCTTCCTGCCCTTGCCTCTACTACCCTTTTATTTCGCCTTCCATACTCCCCCTATCCAGTCTTCTATCTTTATTTATTCTCTTCTCTCTCTCTCTCTGCCCCATTCTTCTAGTCTTTTTCTCCTCTCTTTTCGTCCCCTTTCCCCATCTCCCTTTTCTCATTCTCCTTTCCCTTTTACCTTCCTGTTCCTTTTCACCCCTTTCCCTCTTCTTTCTTCTTTATTTCCTATTTCCCTATCTCTCCTTCTCCTCTTCTTCATCACCTCTCCTACATCTTTTCTTTTTCTACACTTCCCCCTTTCCCTCCTCTCCTCCTCTCCTCCTCTCTTCACCCCTCTCCCCATCTCTTCTTCCTTCCCTTTCTTTTCTCCCCCTCCTCTCACCTCATTTCCCTTCCTTTTCTTCATCCCTTTTCCCTCCCCCTCCTCCTCATCCCCTTTCTCCTCCCCTCCTCTTCACATCCTTTCCCTCTTCCCCTTTCTCCTCGCCCCTCCTCTTTCATCCCTCTCCCTCCTTCTTCCATCCTCTTCCTTCCTCCTCCTCCTCCTTCTCTTCCTCCCCTCTCCCCCCTCCCTTTTTCTCCCCATTTAAGCGACCGGCACTCCACCACTCCGAAGAAAAAAGGGGGAATATTTCGTCGGAAATGGTCCACGGTTCTCTGGCCCTTTTCCCACCTTGCCTCTCCCCTCTCCCTTCTCCCCTATCCCTGCCCCCTTTCCTTTCCCTATCAGCTTCCTTTCTCTTTTCGTACCCAAGCCATTTTTAATTTGTACAGCTGGTCCGGTCTTTTATTTTTATGATTTTTTTTATTTTTTTTATTCAATATTGCCTGTGTTTTTTCTTTCTGTGTCTGCTTCACTGTTTCGTTATCTTATTATTCCTTTGTTTTCTTTCTTTCTTCTCTCCTCGATCTCTCTCGTTCTATTCTCTCTGTCCTCTCTTTTCTCCTCTTCCTTCCATCTCACACTTGCCTCTCCTTCTGTCTCTCTCTCTTCTTCCCGACTCTCTGAACCACTCTTTCTCACTTTCACTCACCCTATTCTTTCCTTTCCATCGACCGGCAACCCTCCCCCTCTTCGCGCGCTTCTCGTCTCGGTCTCTTCTCCTGCGTCTCTTCTCCTCTTCTTCGTGTGCGGTCTCCATCTTTCGTCGGCATCTTCGTCATCATATCTCTCTGTCTTCTCAGTTTCTCTCTCGTCTTCTTTCGTCGTCGATC